ATATGCTAAAAGGACTGCTGTAATTATTACAAGACATAGGAAGAAAAATAGAACCACACTAAACAAAAATGGCAATAAATAAGTACATATCAATTATCACCTTAAACGTGAATGGTTTGAATGCTCTGATAAAAAGACAAGAGTAGCTGACTGGATAAGAAAGTGTGACTCACATATATGTTGTTTACAAGAAACCCACCTCACAACAAAAGACTCACATAGATTGAAAGTGAAGGGATGGAAAAAAATCTTTCAGGCAAATGAAAAGGAAAAAAAGCTGGGGTAGCAATACGCAAATCTGACAAAGTAGATTTCAAAATGAAGACCATAACTAGACACAAGAAGGCCACTACATAATATCGAAAAGATCTATCCAACAGGAAGATATAACCATGGTAAACATACATGCACCCAATATAGGAGCACCAACATAAGTTAGAAATCTTCTGGAGGATTTTAAAGGACAAATGGACAGCAATACAATCATAGCAGAGGACTTCAACACCCCGTTCACATCACTGGATAGATTATCTAGACAAAAAATTAACAAGGAAACACAGACTCTAAATGAAGCGCTAGACCAAATGAATTTCATAAATATCTACAGAGAATTACACCCCAAAACTGCAGAATTCACATTCTTCTCAAGTGCATATGGGACATTCTCAAAGATAGACCACATGTTAGGGCACAAACTAAGTCTCTACAAGTTCAAGAAGACTGAAATCCTATCTAGCATCTTCTCAGATCACAATGGCATGAAAGTAGAAATAAATTGCAATAAGATCAAGCAAAGACATTTGAAAACATGGAGGCTAAATAGCATGTTATTGAACAATGAATGGGTTACCATGGAGATCAAGAAATGAAAAACTTCCTGGAAACCAAATGAAAATGAACACACAACAATACAAAATCTATGGGATGCAGTGAAAGCAGTTTTGAGAGGGTACAGGCCTACTTCAAGAAACAAGAAAAATCTCTAATAGGCTACCTAACCTCACAACTTAAAGAACTAGAAAACAAACAAAAAGAAAACCCAGAGCAAGTAGAATGAAGGAAATAGTAAAGATCAAAGCAGAAATAAATGACATAGAGACCAAAAAAAAATTCAAAAGATTAATGAAACAAAGAGCTGGTTCTTTGAAAAGATAAACAAGATTTATAAACCCTTAGCTAGACTTGCCAAGAAACAGAGAGAGAACCCAAATACACAAAATCAGAAATGAAAGAGGAGAAATAATAACTGACACCACAGAAATACAAGTTATTGTTAACAAAAATTATGAACAATTATACAGCAACAAATTCGACAATCTAAGCAAAATGGACAAATTTCTAGAAACACATAGTCTCCCAAAACTGAACCAGGAAAAGATAGAAAACTTGAACAGACCAATAACAACAAAAGAAATTGAAGATGTAATCAAGACTCTCCCAGCAAACAAAAGCCCAGGCCTGGATGGCTTCATGGGGGAATTTTAACGAACATTCAAAGAACTAATACCCATTCTCCTCAAACTATTTCAAAAAATTCAAGAAGAAGGAAGACTTCCAAACGCGTTTTATGAGGCCAGCATAATTCTAATTCCAAAACCAGAAAAAGACACTACAAAGAAAGAAAACTACAGGCCAATATCCCTGATGAACATAGATGCCAAAATCCTGAACAAAATACTAGCAAATTGAATCCAGCAATACATCAAAAAATTTACCCTAGCCGGTTTGGCTCAGTGGTTGGAGCATCAGCCTGTGGTCCAGAGAAACCCGGGTTCAGTTCCCTCTAAGGCCATGTACCTCGGTTGCAGTTTGTCCCTGACCCTGGTTAGTCAGGCGGGTGGCGGCCACTCGATGTGTCCCTTTCACGTCGATGTTTCTCTCTTTCTCTCTCTTCCTCTCTCTCCCTCCCACTCTATCTGAACAAAAAATGCAAAAATGTCCTCGGGTGAGAAAAAAAAAAAATTATTCACCATGACCAAGTGGGATTCATCCCAGGGATGCAAGTCTGGTACAATATTCACAAATCAATAAATGTGATACACCACATAAACAAAATGAAAGACAAAAATCATATGATCATATCATTGGATGCTAAAAAAGCATTCAACAAAATCTAGCACCCATTTCTGATAAAAATGCTCAGCAACCTGGAAATAGAGGGATCATATCTCAATACAATAAAGGCCATATATGAAAGACCTATAGCCAACATCATACCCAATAGGCAAAAGATAAAAGCATTTCCCTTAAGAACAGGAACAAGACAAGGATGCCCACTTTCACTACTCTTATTTAACATAGTACTGGAAGTCTTAGCCACAGCACTAGACATAAAGAAAAAATAAAAGGGATTCAAATTGGAAAGGAGGAAGTGAAACTGTCAGTATTCGCAGATGACATGATACTATATGTAGAAAACCCCAAAGACTCCATCAAAAGTTTACTAGACTTAATGAATTTGGCAAAGTAGCAGGATACAAAATTAATGTCAAGAAATCAATGGCATTCTTATGCACCAATGATGATATCACAGAGAAAGAAACTAAAAATACATTCCCATTTACCATCGCAGCAAAAAAATTAAGATACCTAGGAATAAACTTAACCAAAGAAATAAAGGACCTATTCGCAGAAAACTATAGGTCATTGAAAAAAGAAATAGAGGAAGATATAAAAAAGTATAAGTACATACCTTGTTCATGAATTGGAAGAATTAACGTCATTAAAATGTCCATATTATCCAGAGCAATCTATAGATGCAGTACAATCCCCATCAAAATACCAACGACATACGTCACAGAACTAGAACAAATACTTCAAAAGCTCATATGGAACAAAAACAGACCCCGAATAGCCACACCAATCTTGAAAAAGAAGAACAAAGTTAGAGGGATCACATTACCAGATTTCAGGTTATACTACAAAGCCACCGTAATCAAAACAGCCTGGTACTGGCACAAAAACAGGCAGATAGATCAATGGAACAGAATAGAGAATCCAGAAATGGACCCAGGACAATATGCTCAATAATATCTGACAAAGGGGGCAAGAGCATACAGTGGAGTCAAGACAGCCTCTTTAATAAATGGTGTTGGGAAAATTGGACAGCTACATGCAAAAAAATGAAACTAGACCATCAACTTACACCATACATAAGAATAAACTCAAAATGGATAAAAGACTTAAATATGACTCATGAATCCATAAAAATCCTAGAAGAAAATGTAGGCAACAAAATTTCAGACATCATACACAGCAGAATTTTCACTGACATATCACCTAAGGCAAAAGAAACAAGGGAGAAAATGAACACATGGGACTACATCAAACTAAAAAGCTTCTGCATAGCAAAAGAAACAACCACCCAAATGGAAAGGCAACCCACTTTATGGGAGAGCATAATTGCCAACAATACCTCAGATATAAGTGGTTAATTTCCAAATATATAGAGTGCTCATACAACTCAATAAAAGGAAGACAAAGAACCCAATTAAGAAATGGGCAGAGGAACTAAATAGACACCTCTCCAAACTAATCATCAGAGAGATGTAAATTAAAACAACTGCCCTGGCCAGTTTGGCTCAGCGGTTAGAGCGTCGGCCTGTGGTCTGGAGAGACCCGGGTTCGGTTCCCGCTAAGGGCACGTACTTCGGTTGCAGTTTGTCCCCGGCCTTGGTTGGTTGTGCGGGTGGCAGCCACTCGATGTGTCCCTTCACGTCGATGTTTCTCTCTCTCTCTCCCTTCCTCTCTCTCTCCCTCCCACTCTATCTGTACAAAAAATGGAAAAATATCCTCGGGTGAAGATTAAAAAAACAAAACAAAAAAAAACAAAACAAAACAACAATGAGGTATCACCTCACACCTGTCAGAATGGCCATCATCAACAAATCATCAAACAACTAGTGTTGACGAGGGTGTGGAGAAAAGGGGACTCAGTATACTGTTGGTGGGAATGCAGACTGGTGCAGCCACTGTGGAAAACAATATGATGTTACCTCAAAAAATTAAGAATTTGCCCTGGCCAGTTTGGCTCAGCGGTTAGAGCGTCGGCCTGCGGTCTGGAGAGACCCGGGTTCGGTTCCCGCTAAGGGCATGTACTTCGGTTGCAGTTTGTCCCCGGCCCTGGTTGGTCGTGCGGGTGGCAGCCACGCGATGTGTCCCTTCACGTCGATGTTTCTCTCCCTCCCTTCCTCTCTCTCCCTTCCACTCTATCTGTACAAAAATGGAAAAATATCCTCGGGTGAGGATAAAAAAAAAAAAAAAAATTAAGAATTTAATTGCCATTTGACCCAGTGATCCCACTTCTAGGAATATACCCTAGGAAGCCTGAAACACCAATCAGATTGAATATATGTACCCCCATGCTCGTAGTAGCAGTATTTACAATAGCTAAGACCTGGTAACAGCCCAAATGCCCTTCAGTAGACAAATGGATAAAAAACCAGTGGTACATATATACACAATGGAGTACTATGCAGCTGTAAGAAAGAAAGATTTCTTATCCTTTGAGCCACATGGAGGGACCTGGAATGTATTATCCTAAGCAAAACAAGCCAAACAGAAAAGACAAGTATCATATGACCTCACTTATTTATGGAATATAATGAACATAACAGTCTGAGGAATTGGGTAGTCCCAGAGACGTGGAAGTGGGGTACAGACTGATAATATCCAGAAGAGGGCGTGGGGGAGAGATAAACCACAGAACTTACATGCAGGTATGCATAAACAATGGACATGGACAACAAAGCTGGGCACAGGCTGGGGAGGGTGGGGGAGGGGGGAATCAGTGGGGGGAAAAGGAGAAACATCTGTAACAAAAAAAAATTAATTAATTTAAATAAATATATATGTTGTTTTTTTTTTTTCCCTAAATGCTAACTACTATGAATTTTTCACCCGGACAAACTCTTCATCGTTTTTCTTTCTACGGAACACTCTAAGAGAAAAATAATGGAAGAGAGAAAAGGATGGAGAGGGTGAAAATCTACATATCCTACTTGGATTGTGCGAGACAGCCTGGGGCAACCATATTCTGATTCTCCTCTTCATTCTGCAGTGCAGTGAGCTCTACCATGTTAACCATCACATCATTGGTGTGGCCAGGAAGCTGGGGAAGCACTGAAATGATCTTCTCTACCAAGTTGTCTCCATGATGTCCAACTGCTCCTGTAGAAGCACACAGAAAATATGAAGTCACAAAATGGGAGGAAGAAGAAGCTGGATTACTGTTTTAATGATATGATAGGTATCAATAAATATTGAATGAATAAATAAATTATCAGCATATAGTCAGCCAGATAAATGGCGCCATAGGATGATACTATCCTGAAATTTTGGCGCCAAAATTACTGATGAAGATCGTAAAATCCAGAAGGGCTTACAGACCTGACAAAGAGTAGATCTCCCCTCTGCTAGATTGGTGTCTTCATAATGGCAACTGTTTAGCCAGTTCACCCTACACCCACCATATCTGGCAGGCAACTTGGCAGCTAGTAGGTTCTCACTAAATATTTGTTGGATAAAGGGAAAAGAAATGAATGAATGGTAACCGTTTGCAATGATAGAGGTATTTTATAGAGTGCTTTCTGTGTACCTGGTGCTTTACATGTATTAACTGTTTTAATAACAAATTAATGAATGAAATCAAATTGAAATTCAAGACCAATGATATAGTTTAATAATTTTCACATGAAACTAAGTTATCTTTCCAAAAGCCATTATTGCTTGAAAGACCTCATTCCAACAATTAGTGGGACTTGGCACATTTACTTGTTTTGATCCCACCCACTTTGAATCAATTAACATTTTGCTTCCTAATGTCTCTCTATTTCTATCTCTATCTTTCTGTTGTTTTTTGCCATGTCATATTATTTGGACAGAAGAAGTAGATGGAAAAGATCAGACCAGAAATTCAAGAAATCATCATCATGACCATCATATTCTTTATCACAATAACATTTATTGAGTACCAGGTATTAAGCTCCATAATGTACATTTATTATCCATTTAATTCTTACAACTTTAAATTTTTTTTTTTATCCTCACCCGAGGATATTTTTCCATTTTTTTTTTTGTACAGATAGAGTGGGAGAGAGAGAGAGGAAAGGAGAGAGAGAGAGAAACATCGACATGAAGGGACACATCGAGTGGCCGCCACCCGCACGACCAACCAGGGCCGGGGACAAACTGCAACCGAAGTACGTGCCCTTAGCGGGAACCGAACCCGGGTCTCTCCGGACCGCAGGTCGACGCTCTAACCGCTGAGCCAAACTGGCCAGGGCTAATTCTTACAACTTTAATACATAAGTATTAATATGCTCACTTACATAGCAGAAGATTCAGTTTAAGTAACTTGCTCAAGATTATACAACTTGTAAATTACAAAGCAAGAATTCAAATTCAGGAGAATGATAACTCCAAAAACTATACTTTTTATTTTTAAAAAAATCAGGCTCATAAAAGTGACTTAAGACAGAACCAGCATGAGTGCTTCTATGGTGACTTTTCATGCTAAATAAAAATGACTTCTTGCACTCATAGAATATTCATTGATTAGGCCTGGAAGGAACCATATATTATTTATGTTGTCTGTGGTTTATGGTTGTCTACCCATATCTCAGACTACAAGCTCCTCATTAAATACTTACTGAATGAATGCCTAGTGACTATAAGTAGCCCTGGGTCAAAATTCTCTAAGTGAAATATATCTTTAAACTAAGCTTGGAATGGAGATACATTATTAATGCTTACTTGAAGAAACTCTCTATGATAATTTCATGTTTTGTGTACAGTTTCCTTCCACTAGGTCATGAGTTAACACTTCTCCAACAAATTAGAGCCCTTTTATGAAGAACTGTTGTGAATACTGGCATCTGCACATTTCTAAAAGGCTCCCAGGTGGACAATTTTCCTTGGTGTCAGCATAATTACATTTCTACAATCTCTTGGTCTAGATATAGTTGTTGTTGTTGTTGTTTAATAAAGCAGGGCATATTGAAGATGTATTTACTCATTGTAGCATTTAACAAATTGGTTGCAAATGCTAATTTGCTTGTCTGTATCTCTGTCTAGACTATAAACTCTGTGAGATCAGAGACTATGTCCATCTAGTTCATTTTTGTATCCTCAACCTGACATACAGTAGGAAGTCAATAAACTGTATGCTGAATCAATGAAAGTCCCAGAACCTTGGAGAGTGGTTATGAAGACCTGCACAACAATCCCATTTACCTGTGAGATCCAGAGTTCTGTCCACAAAGACCACTGAGGCCCTGCCTGCAGAAGTCTTCCTTCTGTTCTTGGCAGGGACATAATTAGCCAGATCTGCAGCAATGATCCGACTGAAGGAACCTACAGCAAAACACTCCTCCCGTACTCCTAAATGCTCGCACAGAGAACTGAGGCCTGACACCAAGCACCTGATCTGCAATAACAGCTCAGGGGACAAGGCATTGGCATCCACCTCAGCCAGGCTCCCCAGCCTCCTCTTGTCTGGTCGGGCACTATTAAGAAGATGCACGTCCTGAGGTAGCAGTGGAAAAAGGGAAGCAAATGCTGGAGTCAAGGCAAGGTGAGGAGCAGCAGGGGCTAGCAACAAGGGGATGTGCAGCACCTTGGCGGTGTAGTTCATGTTGCCCATCCACTCACACAGCTTCTCCTCCAGTTGCTCGAACACCGGCTGCTGCCCTTCCAGCTCAGCCGCTGCCGCCGCGGGCACATGATTAGCCGTGAGGTGGACAGCGTGGTCCACCGCCGTGACCACCACACAGTACTGGAAGTGGCTGCGGCAGATGATGTTCCGTAGAGTCTCCACGGTTCGGCCTTTCAGTAGGCAGCTCAGCACAAACACCGCTTTGGGTTGCTCAGCTCCGCCACCAACTGCTGCGGGCTCGAACTCCCGCAGGTGACACGCAGGACCCCCCACCGCCTCCAGGAGCCGGGTGGAGCCGCAGCCCCAGTGCAGGCTCTCGGCGCAGGCGGCGTCCATGTAGACCAGAGCCCGTTTCACTTTGGCCAGCACCTGGTCCCAGCCCTGCTTGGTAAAGGACTGTACGCCCGGGGCGCTCATAGTTGGGGATTCGCAGACTCGGGCACTCAAGGGCAAGAACTTTTCTCAGAATTCACAGCTTCCGGGAATTGGGCTCTCTCAGACTTTGACAGTCAACACTGTGCACGCGGTGCCGCGTCTTACTTGTCCAGTGGCTGCGCACGGTGATGACGTGACGGAGCGTGATTGGCTTGCCCGGAGATCCGCTCCCGGAAAAATGCTGGGGCCTGGGAGGAGGCGCGCAGGGAGGAGGTGGGCGGGGCTGGGGCGATGGGGTTCCTGGAAAGTTCAGCGATCAGAAGCAGCTGATTAGGACTAGCTGAACTATGTTCTTGTTCTCTCCCTGTCTGTTCAGTTTACCTTTCACTGAGAATCTAAACGTTGACACTTCCTTAGATATGAGCACATCTATTTAAAAGTACAGCCACTTTCTCCATCTAAACTCAGAGCAGCCTAAACTAAAACAACCAACTGTAATGTTTTGTAGTCTATAGATGTTGTCAATACATTGTTGCACACAGACCTCATAACCAACCCAATGATCTCGTTTTCACGTTCTCCATCTTTCCTCCCTCATTGCATTGTCACTAAATCTTAGTCTCCTTCAAAAATCTTAGAATCAAGCCCCTTTTCCTCAACCTTGTTGTCACTACCTTAACTCACCATCATCACTGCCCTGGACAATTGCAGTGAGCCCCCATAATTTACCAGCTTTCTATCTCTTCTCCCTAAAATTCAACTTCTTTCTTAATAAGCTAAACTGGTCCTACCATTTTCCTGCTTAAAAGCCTCTCCTTGCTCAGTTGCCTACAAAATACAGCCAGACTCCTTAAAATGGCACTGAAATCTTTCATGATTTCTCAGTTTCTCTCCAGTTATTCCCAGCTTGGAACATTATATACTTACACAATGAAGTCAACATATTGAGCCCAGAATCTTTCATGAGTTCAATTCATTCAATTAGTATTTATTAATTGAAGTATAATCACTGTACTTGATTCCAACGATACAAAGGTTAGTAAAATACATTCCCTTATCTACAAAGAACTTACACATGGAAAATTCCTAACAAATATAATTATTATAATATACCTTCGACATGAGGATGTTCCTAAGTCACCACCACTACTATAATCACCCTGTCCTCCTCCTTAGCCGCCCCCCTCCAGCCAAACATTCCGTTGATATCATGGGGTGAGTCTTTAACATACCAGTTCTGCAAGATTATACGCTGTAGTCCTGGTATCCCCAGTGCTAGAATATAACAGGTGTTCTAAATGGTTGTTGAATAATGTTCAAGTCATATCCATAAACTAATATAGTCAACAAACTTTTAAAAAATAGTTTTATTGATTTTTGGAGAGAGAGAGAGGAAGAGAGAGAAAGATAGAAACTTTGATGAGAGAAACATCATCTATCAGCTGCCTCCTTGCACACCTCCTATTAGGAATAGAGCCTGAAACCCAGGCATGTGCCCTGATTGAAAATAAAAACCAGCAACCTCTTGGTACATGGGAAGTAGCTCAACCAACTGAGCCACACCAGCTGGGCAATAGTCAACCAACTTTCAATGGACTTGTACAGTATTCCAGACACTGTGTTGGACACTGAGGCTATAAAAAGAAATAAACCACAGCCTCGCCTTCAAAAGAATCTAAATTGAAAGAACCCGTACATGTAAAGCAAGCAAGTGCAATAAAATGTTACAGAGGTGATGACTTTTTTTAATGTGTAAGAATTACACAGGGGTGAAATAAATTCTGACTGGGTGAAGTAAAAAGGGAAGTGGTCAGAAGTTTCATATAGAAAATGAATTTAGAGTTGCCTTCAAAGAAAACCAGGTGTTCACCAGGTGGACAGGATTGGGAGGAGCATTCCTGGCAGTGTGGGCAGAAAGTGCAACATGAACAAATTGAGTCATGAAACCATACAAGATGTTCTTTGGAACTACAAATAGTTTAGTATAGCTAAAATGTATTGTATAAAGAGAGGGTCAAGAAGAAATAGGAGCTAGGAACTAGAAAAGAAGGAATAGATCAGGGTGAGTCTTAATTTTTATTCTAAATAGTAGCAGCCAAGGAGAAACTATTCAAGTATTTTTAGGAGTGGAAATAATTTGTTCACATCTGGAGTTTAGAAAAAAATTCTACAAATATATCAACAATAATTTGAGCTGGGGGAAGAGTTAGGAAATAGTAACAGCAACCACTCAGGCCAGAATAAATAAGGAACCAGTAAAGGTGATATACACTGGTGTCTAAAGAGATGTTAAAGAGACAGGGCCAAAGAGCCTGGTGACTGGATTGACAGAGAATGAAGCACAGGGAATATTTCTGATGAATGCCCACCTAAGTGGCAGTCACTGAGTTTTGGAAAATCAAAAGAGAAGCAGTTTGGGGGATAAATGTACTTACTGAGTTAAGTTGGGACATATTTTTGTCTATTTCTCTGATTTTTTTTAATTGTAAAAAAATATACATAACAAAATTTACCATCTTAAACATTTCTAAGTGTACAGTTCATTTGGTAGTGTTAAGTATTTTCACGCTGCTGTGCCAATAAGAGCTTTTATCTTAAGAAATTGAAACTCTAGCCCTGGCCGGTTTGGCTCAGCGGTAGAGCGTCGGCCTGTGGTCCAGAGAGACACGGGTTCGGTTCCTGCTAAGGGCACGTACCTCGGTTGCAGCTTGTCCCCTGCCCTGGTTGGGTCATACAGGTGGCGGCCACTCGATGTGTCCCTTTCACGTCGATGTTTCTCTCTCTCTCTCTCCCTCCCCTTCTATCTGAACAACAACAACAACAACAACAACAACAACAAAGAAAAATGTCCTTGGGTGAGGATTAAAAAAAAAGAAATTGAAACTCTATACAGTCTATTTATTAAACAGTTCCCCATTTCCCCTTCCTCTGCCCTAGGCAACCATCATCCTATTTTGTGATTCTGTGAAGTGACTACTGTATACTCCTCAGGTAAATGGAATCATACAATATTTTTCTTTCTGTGACTGGCTTATATCACTTAGCCTACTAACTTTAAGATTCATCCATGTTATATGTGTCAGAATTTTCTTCCTTCCATTTCTTGCTTTCAGATGTTATGGCAGTCAAATCAATTCCTGCTAAAATTACATGCTTAAGATAATCAGATTTACCTTATTTAAATGTGATTTGTATTTTACTAAAAAATAGTCAGCAATTATTTCCCATTCTTCATAAAATCAAGCATATATCCCTTTACCTCATTTATATGTCCTCCATATGTATGATCAACTTAAGGAATTACTAAGCACTTTCCATGTGGTTGTCATTGTAAGGCAGGATCTGCTGACTACAGAAAAAAAGTTGTTCTCACCCTTAAAGAGTGTGCAGTTTATATAACAGTGGAGATGTAACAGGAGATAATACAAATTTCCAAAAACAACTAGCAATATAAAATTTAGTGTTAAAATATGTAAGAATATAGAGAAAGATAGATAATTGGGGCATAATTGCTCATGGAAGTATCTAGAGAGAAAGAAAACCTCTGCATGTGTGCAGTGTACAGGTCGTCGAAAGGCCAAAGGCCAAAAGTGATCCACCACCTGCTTGCCAGTAACTTGTCAAATGCTTTGACATTTGAAACTTCATTTTAGTTTTGTTATCCTCCCAAGAAATGGGTGTAAAATTTTATTTCAATATATTGATTTACTGATGAGGAAACTTAAGAACTTGAGATTTAAGCAACATATTTAAAGTTGGCAGCAAACAGCACAGTTGGGCCTAAATGACATAGTCATTCAAAACACATTTAAGAGTACTTGCTAACTACTAGAACTGAGCCAAGCAATTTTATTTGATGTTTAACTCTTGTACTCATGTCATCATTTTAATCCTATACTAAGCATTTCCTTTCAGTATTTCTCAGAGTTATATTAAACTGATCATTTGTTGTTGTTTCCCCAAAAAACCAACAGATCACACCAACATAATAAAATGGAAAACAAATATAATCAGAATATATGGAGTACTGTAGTTTGATAAGGCATAATTTTACACAATATCTTCAAGCTACCTATCTTTGAAATGTCCCCTGTATGAGTAGGGAGATAATGACACGGTTAACTAAGGGAGCTTATCCAGACAAGGAACTCAATTTGAAAGCAAGCAGGAAGAGGACTTTTAAGATGGCTATTAGTGATTTATGGGCTTCTCTGCTTGGAAATCTTTCTTTCAAAGCTCAGCTCAAATGCTACCTCCATGAAGGCAATTCTGATGCATCAATTATTATTCAGTAATTCTTCAGTTTAACTAATGCCTTGAAAGACAAGCTCACTTCAGGCAGCTGGAAGGAAAAAGAGGCTCCTTAGCAAAAGGCAATTGTTCTATGAAACCAAAAAAGTTCATTATGTGCTCATGGAATGATAAATACACAGAACTATAAGTGACTGTCTTATGATACTCCCAAGTAGAATGAAAACCTTCATTCCATTACTGTCAGTAAAGCACAAGATAATCCTTATCACCACTTGACATATACACTTAGGTTTATTGGCTGTCTCCTCATTAGAATAAAAGCTTCAGAGAGGAGGATTTTTTTCCCTCATTGCTAAATCTACCTAGTCTAGAAGAGTTCCTGACATTTGGTAGACCCAACATTAATATTTACTGAATAAATTAGAAAATGGGAGGATATAAAGTGGAATTTAGGAAAAATTTCACAAAGTTGATTATATCTCAACAGAGTTCAGAAAGATGCAGGGAATTTACTAAACAGGTAAGGGAGAATGAGAATAGCAGATAAAAGTGTTCAAAAGTGGCTTAGCAGTTAGAGCGTCTGTTGGCCTGCGGACCAGAGAGTCCCGGGTACAGTTTCCTCTAAGGGCACGTACCACGGTTGCAATTTGTTCTTGGCCTCGGTTGGGGTCGTGCGGGTGGCAGCCACTCGATGTGTCTCTCTCATGTCAATGTTTCTCTCTCTTCCCCTCTCTCTCCCTCCCACTCTATCTGAAGATAAATGCAAAAGTGTCCTCGGGAGAGGATTAAAAAAAAAAAAAAAGACAGCCTCTTTAATAAATGGTGTTGGGAAAACTGGACAGCTACAAGCAAAAAAATGAAACTAGATCACCAACTTACACCATACACAAGAATAAACTCAAAATGGACAAAAGACTTAAAGCTACTTGTGAATCCATAAAAATCCTAGAAGAAAATGTAGGCAACAAAATGTCGGACATCACACACAGCAGAATTTTCACTGATACAATGCCTAAGGCAAGAGAAACAAAGGAAAAAAATAATACATCGGACTACATCAAACTAAAGCACTTCTGCACCGCAAAAGAAACAAACATTGTCCTCACCGGTTGCTCAGTGGTTAGAGCAAAGAGTCCTGGGTTTGGTTTCCGCAAAGGGCACGTACCTCGGTTGCAGTTTGTCCCTGGCCTCATTTGGGGTCGTGTGGGTTGATGTGTCTTTCTTAAATTGATGTTTTCCTCTCTCTCTCTTCCTTCCCTCTTTTCCTCCCACTCTATCTGAAGGTAAATGCAAAAAAAAAAAAAAAAGTCCTCAAGTGAGGATTAAAAAAACAAACAAACAAAAGAAACAAACATCAAAATGGAAAGGGAACCCACTATATGTGACATCATAAATGCCAATGATACATCAGATAAGGGGTTAATATCCAAAATACATAGAGTACTCATACAACTCAACAAAAAGAAGACAAAGAATCCAATTAAAAAATGGGCAGAGGACCTAAATAGATACCTCTCCAAACAGGACATACAAATGGCCAAGAGACCTATGAAAAAAATGCTCAACATCACTAAACATTAGAGAGATGCAAATTAACTTTTTTTTTTTTTTTTTATTATCCTCACTCAAGGACACTTTTTCATTCTTTGTTCAGATAGAGCAGGAGGGAGAGAGAGAGAGAGAAACATCGATGTGAAAGGAACACATCGAGTGGCTGCCACCTGCATGACCAACCAGGGCCGGGGACAAACTGCAACCGAGGTACATGCCCTTAGCGGGAACTGAACCCAGGTCTCTCCGGACCGCAGGCCGACGCTCTAACCGCTGAGCCAAACCGGCCAGGGCGAGAGATGCAAATTAAAACTACTATGAGGTATCACTTCACACTTGCCAAAGTAGCTGCCATCAACAAATCATCAAACAACAAATGCTGACAAGGGTGTGGAGAAAAGGGGACTCTAGTACATTGCTGGTGGAAATGCAGACTGGTGCAGACACTATGGTGTTTCCTCAAAAAAGTAAAAATTGAACTGCCATTTAACCCAGTGATCCCCCTTCTTGGAATATATCCTAAGCCTGAAACACCAATCAGAAAGAATATAAGCACCCCTATGTTCATAGCAGAACTATTTACAGTTGCTAAGATCTGGAAACAGCCCAAGGGTCCATCAATAGACAAATAGATAAAACAGCTGTGGTACATGTACAAAATGGAATACTATGCAGCTGTAAGAAAGATCTCTTATCTTTTGAGACAACATGGAGGGACCTGGAGAGTATTATGCTAGGTGAAATAAGCCAATCAGAGAAAGACAAATACCACATGGTCTCACTTTTTTGTGGAATATAATGAACAAAATAAGCTGATGAACAAAATAGACCCAGAGACATAAAGTAGGGTTCAGACTGACAAACCTGGGGGGGGGGGTGGGCAGGGGAGGAGGCCGGGAGGGAAGAGATAAACCAAAGAACTTACTCATACAAGTATAACCAATGGACATAGACAACAATGTTGGGGGTGGGGGGCGGGAATGAGAAGAGGGTGTCAATGGGGTAAAAAGGAGAAACATTTGTAACAAAAATAAATTTAAAAAAAAGCAATACACAGATACATACTGCACTGTACCCTTTAAGACTCATTAACCTCAGGTTCTCCCACTGAAACAATACAATTCATGTGAAGTCAATGTGTGGAAAATTTCAGAATAATTCTCGACAAACAAACAAGAGCTACCTTTGGAAATGGTAGCAGTATATGAAGGGGGCTTTGATCTTAACTGCAGTGCTTTGTTTTAATATGGTGACTGCATTATTCATATATGAGTTTTGCTTTTGTTTGTTGTTAAATTAATTTTTCAAGAAACTAGCCAAGAATTGATTTCTTATTTAATAAGAAACAGAGGACTGATGGGTAATTACTAAAATAAGGCATTTCGGGTTGATTTAAAAAAAAAAAAGTAGAGAAGAGAAAAGCATCAAGGGCAGAAGGGAACAATGGAATACTCGCAGGCAAAGCAATAAGGGTTATTACAGGAATGGTTGGGGGAGGGGGACCCTAGTTTACACAGGAAGCCATGTGAGAAATCAGAGCTAAAAAGGCAAAGTGGGATTCCATAGGGGTGGGGCTAACTACTGTGCGCACGCGCAATTAGGCCCAGGTGGCTTCCGCCGCGGAAGCGAAGCCACCTACAGACGCTGCGCCGCTTGGCTGCTGCTGCGCATGTGCAAGCCACCCGAGGCTGGAGTCTTCTTTGCCGCTTAGGCGGCCGCGGTCCCGTGCAGTGGATTTGAGTCTCGCGCTTTCTTCGTTCGCTCGCTGGCGGGTTCGCGCCTCTCTCACATCCTCGGGCAGCGAGGCTGGGGAAGGGGTTGGAGGGGGCTGTTGACCGCTGCCTTTAAGTTGTGCTCGGGGCGGCCATGTCGGCCGGCGAGGTTGAGCGCCTAGTGTCGGAGCTGAGCGGCGGGACCGGAGGGGATGAGGAGGAAGAGTGGCTCTATGGCGGTACGGAACTTCCTGTCCTTTCTCTTTCTCCCGGATTCTCTCAGGCCCCCGTCCCGGCGCGCAAACGGTCGTCCTCACTGGCCCCTCGCGGCCCCGCCTGGGCCCTCTCGCACTGAACCTGCTTCGGCCTAAGTCAGGCCGAGCGCGGTGTGCGCGTTTCCCCGCCTGCCTCGGCCTCCTCTCGCCCAGCCCACACCCCCAAACGCGCACGCACCCCGAGGCTGCAGGGTCGGGCCGGAGTCTGGGGCGCGGGGCCGGGCTTCTGGCCGCCTCGCCTCTGCACTTTTTATTCTTGTTTTTTTTTATATCGATTCTGAGCAGTGCTGGTGTCTCTTCCAGCCCCTTGACTGTAGGATGTCCTTCCTGTCCCTTTCTTTAAGCAACAGTCATTCTGTAATAGCTAAATAAAGTTGATGTTGTAACACTAACGTCTTGTTTCTTGATGGTCAGTTTGTATGGAATGCACCTGCAAGGGTACCTCCTTGTCTGAAAGTCGTGCTTTAAAAATAATTAATTAAGAGAGAGAAAGAAAGAGATGGAATACATTATGGCCCATAAAGAAAACCCCGAATGTCTCCTGTATGTATTAAGGTGAAGTTTTTCTTATTTAAGAGACTGCTCTTTAACCCACATCATAGAAGTGCCCCTTAGGCTTATCGTTTTCAGTATCATCTTATGTATTTATTTTTCTTGAAATAAATTTAATGCATCTTGTACTTCTGTTTCAAGAGGGACTTGTTCAGCCATTTGGTTTTTAACTTTCAGTAAGTCACAGCCCCTTCTTATTTGTTACAGACATTAGATTTGAAAATTAATATTTGTTCCTTGCCAGAAATGTATATTCTTGATTGGCTTTAGAATATTATAGTAAAAGTGTATATTTGGGTACCATGTAGCTAGCTCCTTGATGATATGACTGACAAACTTTGATTTTGCTCAACTTGTAAAATAAAAGCATTTGTCCCTTGTGACAAGATTTAGTATTGGTAATACTCTGAAATGTAAATGTGTAGGGTTTCTTTTACAAAGATCCAGAAGCCCTTAATACCTCTTAAGTTTATTATTATGGAAGTACAGTCTGATTTTTTTTTTTTTTTTGTATTTTTCATAAAAGACATATCTTGTTAAGTCATTATAAGGTGATCTAACTTTGGATGTGCTTATAGGCCCATGGGACGTGCATGTGCACAGTGATTTGGCAAAGGACCTAGGTTAGTGCTTGTGATGATCACTTCAGATTTTCATACTACTGGTTTCTTTAAGAGTAGTTTGTTAATTTTATTTATTTATTTATGTATTTTTTTTGGTAGATGAAAATGAAGTTGAAAGGCCAGAAGAAGAAAATACCAGGTTAGTGAAATTTCTTGTTGATACTTATCACAGATCGTGTGATACAGTGGTTCCATCAGCAAATTATCAATATTATTTTATTCCATTATAATCGTTGGTTTGATTACATTTTGATAAAAGGTTGGAAGACATTGAATCTTTGGGAGTTTATTCCTTTTTCAGGACCGAATCTTAGACCAGTCTGTTTATTTGCTAGGAGCTTATGGGAACAAAGATTTTGAAGTAAGGGTTTAAATGCTTTTCAGTGCTAAGTAACATTTTACTTTTAAATGGAGTATACAGTATAATCATTAGACTACTAAGAAAAGAGTTTTAACTTAAAAATTTTTTTTAAATCTTAAATTACTGCCTTCACAATTAATATTTATGATGGTATAATGCACATTGGTTATAATTTAAGCATTTTGTATTTATTTAAATGCAAAGTAGAATTAATGAATTTGTTTTAAGATTAGTTCCCTTTTTTAGATTACCAGAAAAGAATGAGTATTGTTTATATAACTTGTACCAGGAGCCAGAAACTCAATTCTAAATTTCAAAACAACTCACACACATAAGTTAATGAATATGCTGACTTTACTCTGACCAGAGGCCTTAGTGTTCTATAATGAGGAAGGAAGTAGTTAAAAAAAAACACACACAAACAAACAACTTTTAGAGACTGTTTGGTTTTAATAAATGGAAGAAATAGTACTTCACAGTCACTTGGATAACTGTAATAAAAAAGACCGCAACAGGTGTTGATGAGGATATGGAGAAATTGAAACCCTCATACCCTGATGATGGGATTGTAAAATGATGCAGCTATTTTGGAAAACAGTCTGGCAGTTTCTTAAAAGATTCAACATAAGAGTCGCCAGATAATCTAGGAATACCAATTCTAGTTCTGTATCTTAAGAGCAATGAAAACATACATCCATGCAAAAGCTTGTACAGAAAGTTAATTGATAGGTTTTGAGAATTGAAGTAAAACTACCTTTAACGAGACCAATTCTGCCATAGGCTGATTGATATAAACAAAATTATGTTTCTAGGTATCTCGTCTATGCTATAACAAAATGACGTTGAATGAAAGGATATTATTTGAGCACCTGCTGTACATGAGTGTTCATAGCATTATTCATAATACCCATAAAATGGAAATAATCCATGTCTATGAAATAATGAATGGATAGATAAAATGTGATATATTTATACAGTGTAATACTATTTGGCAATAAAAAGAAATGAAATGTTTGTATGTTATAACATGGGTAAACCTTGAAAACATTATGCTAAGTGAAAGAAGCCAGTCACAAAGGACTACAAATTGTATAATTCTGTTTATATTAAATGTACAGAATAGGTAAATCCATATAGACACCAAGTAGTTCATGTTTTCCCAGACTGAGTACAGGGCAAAATGGGGATTGACTAAGACATACAAGATTTCTTTTTGGGGTGATGAAATGTTCTGGAATTAGATAGTTGTTGTTGCACTATTCTGTAAGCATACTAAAAACCATTTACTTGTACATTTGAAATGAGTGGATTGTGTGGTATAACGAATTATATATCTAAGCTGTTACTTAAAAACAAATGAATGGAGGGAAGAGGTGAGAAGTAGAAATAGAAATAGCTTTGAGGATGCTAAAATTAAGAGTATTTTTTCTTTTCCACTTAAAACTATCCCTTATATTGGAAGACATTTTTTTAAAAACTCCTTGCTAGCTTCTCTGAAATTTTATCATCTAGGTTTTTTTTTAACCTTCACCTGAGGATATTTTTTCCATTGATTTTTAGATATAGAGTGGGTGGGAGGCAGGGAGGGGAGTGGGGGGAGAGAAAGAGAAAGAAACATCCATGTGAGAGAGACATCTATTGGATCTATTGGTTGCCTCCCGCAGGGCCCTAAGTGGGGCCAGGGTATATGCCATTGACTGGGAATCGAACCTGTAACCCTTTGGTCTGAGGTCCAGTGCTCTAACCGCTGAACCAAACCAGCCAGGGCTATCGTCTAGTTTTTACATTTATGTATCCAACCCAGTTTCTAATGCTAATCTTTTTTAAAAAATCCTCACCGAGGATATATTTTTTCATTTATCTTCAGATAGAGTGGGAGGGAGGGAGGGAGAAAGGGAGGGAGGGAGAAACATCCATGTGAGAGACATACATCGACTGATTTTCTCCCATAGGACCTCGACCAGGGACCAGACTTGCCCTTGACTGGAATCAAACCCTTGACTCTTTGGTCTGCAGGCTGATGCTCTAACCACTGAGCAAAATCAGCCAGGGCTCTAATGCTAATCTTTTTTTTTTTTTTTTTTATCCTCACCCGAGGACATTTTTCCATTTTCTGTTCAGGTAGAGTGGGAGGGAGAGAGAGGAACAGAGAGAGAGAGAGAAACATCGACATGAAGGGACACATTGAGTGGCTGCCACCCACACAACCGACCAGGGCCGGGGACAAACTGCAACTGAGGCACGTGCCCTCAGCGGGAACCGAACCTGGGTCTCTCCGGACCGCAGGCTGACGCTCTAACCGCTGAGCCAAACTGGCCAGGGCTCTAATGCTAATCTTAACCACAAAGTGAGGATTTGGATTATAGTTTGGAAAGTAATTAAATATTTTTTCATGCCATGTTTTTCAGTTGGTCAAGAAATGAATTGATAACAAGTTAGAGATTCACAACTAAATGCATTTTTTATGAGCTAATTTTTATTCCATTAATTTCTGTTAATATTAATTTTTGACTACAATTCTTGAAGCTTATTTTGTGATAGGATATTTTTAAATTTTAGTTTCAATACACAGCTTGATTAAATTTTTTGGAGAGGCACTTTTTGCCTTTTTAGAGCATCACTGTCAAAAATGTTTTCAGCCCTGGCTGGTTTGGCTCAGCGGTTAGAGCGTCGGCCTGCGGTCCTGAGAGACCCGGGTTCGGTTCCCGCTAAGGGCACGTACCTCGGTTGCAGTTTGTCCCCGGCCCTGGTCAGTTGTGCGGGTGGCAGCCACTCGATGTGTTCCTTTCACATCGATGTTTCTCTCTCTCTCTGTTCCTCTCTCCCTCCCACTCTACCTGAACAAAAAATGGAAAAATGTCCTCGGGTGAGGATAAAAAAAAAATGTTTTCATATTTCTTAATAAAATTTTATTTGGAGAGTTATTAAATTTATTTCATCCTATGGAAAAAATCTATCCTTATGATTTTTTTCTAGAAAATGCTTATAATTTTATGTTTTTAGCATTTTCATGGTGATAGAGAATTAAAACTTTTAAAAGTTTATTGGGGAAGAGAGCACCAAACTTGTGTTCTAGTATCCAGCTTAGTACATCATTGCATTGCCCTAAGTGAGCTGAGTCCTTTCTTAGAGTTCTCCCCAGCTTCTTTGTGACTGGTTCGTTGTTAAAACCTCTGTACTTCTAACCATTGCATTATACTGTCTCCAGTTTTCTCATGTTTTATCTATCCATGTTTTGGCTAACCATACTGTTTTGTGACATAAATAAGCTGAACTACTTTCTGGATACTTAGAAGCTTATTTAAGCAGGAGTAAATGTACTGAAGAAATACAGTTGCAGGCTTGTTTTCTTGAGTCAAGCAGTAGAACAGTGAAAATATAACAGATAAGCTCTCAGTTTTTATCCTTCATTTTGCTTTATTTGGAGATTTTTAAATAAAATACCAAGGCAGAGATTAAATTGATTTATATAGAAACAGCTTGACAAAGTGAAGTTTAGAAGATAGCAGAAATCTAATGAGATCTTTGAACTAGATCAACATCTGGACTTTTTTTTTTAGAAATGCTACTGAGTAATTGCTAGTTGCTTTGTACTTGCATTTTTTATCTATAAAATGAGGTTAATTGTTAATTCTGTGAAAATTATAGTTATTAAAAATATAAGAAACCAATTACACTATAGTACTAGAAATTTTATTTGATTGGTAATGACCATATGCTTCAGATAAGACACTTGAGAAGAAGACATATGAGAATGTCTTACTGTTGTCAGTATTGTTGTAATGGCAAATTCAGGTATTGACTGACCTTAAAAAAGTAATTTTTTAATGCATCAGAATTAGTGTGCAACTGTCATTAGTGTCAAATTAGAAAGTAGTCTTAAATAAAGGTAAACTTTTTTATCTTAAAATTTATTTTTTATACGGTAAGGAACATACATACAATAAAATGATGTAACAGAAAGCCAGGAAGAAGCATGTATATTAGCTGAATACTAAAAGAGTTAGTGTGATCATATTACAAACCTGAAAAGAGGAAACATATATTGTCCTTGATGATCACAGTAATACCTGGCACATAGTGGATGTTCAGTAAAGATTTAGGATAAGTTTCAGTGTGATGCATATTTTAAAAATGTAGCCAAAAAACCCCCCTCAAATTATATCCTATCATCAATTTGTAAATTTGACATCATTAACAAATTGTGGAGGCAATTCCATTCTGTTTCTAATGTTGAGTACATGTTTTATGCAATACATGAGGAATAGCAGAGTAAGACAAATTGGTAGTTTTTACCATCCATTTTCTTAGGATCTAGTGGAGACAATTTTAGGAAACTATCAGACATAGCCTAAAAATACTAGTAAACCTTACCTGTACTTCTCAAAAGTAATACTAGGCATGTGTACTTATTTTTGTTTGTAGTGCTAATAATCCTCCATCTGGGACCGAGGATGAAACTGCTGAGAACGGCGTACCTAAACCGGTAACATAAGGCTTTGAAACGTAGTTACTTCTCTGTTTAAAATCTTTACCATTAGTTTTGCATTCACTTAGGAATAAAGCCAACATTTAATAAGGACTTTCAATATCCTGCTTGATCTGACTCTCTTTTACATCACCTCATCTAGCGCCATCAAAAGCACAGGGAAGAAAAGTATTGGGAAGAATTTAGATCTAATAGGGCATGTGCAAAGGCCTGATGTTTATTTCAAGGAACTGAATGGTCATAGATCATATTCTAAATAGATCATACCCTAATTTTCAAAGCAAACATTTGTCTTGAATCCTAAATTTGATTGTCAGGTTTTTCAGCAAATTTTTTTTTTTTTTTGTATAAGTGATAGTATTTGACCTCATGCCTATTGAAAGTGATGTGTGTGAACATAGTATGGGTCCTATGACTATTTACAGCATTCTAAATGTCTGTTGTTATTCTGCAAGTTTGTTATTCTGCAAGTTTGAATTTGTATACAAAATTATTTTGCCTGGGTTTTCTACTTTTTAAATTTAAATGTGACTAAGCACAAAATAGCCTTTTAAAAGTCAAAACAAAACCTTTGCAATTGGCCCTACTTCTACTCATAGAAACAAAGTATTCCCTCAACTATTTGCATGCAGGGCCTCTTCAAGGTGTATATGAATTTCAGGAATGAGTGAGCTGCTTTTTTAACTATTTGGTGCTTTTTAACCATGACACTGTGACTCTTAGTTAATTGTTTTTCTCTTAACTTTATATTATTTTTGCCAGGAATTTCTCAAATACTTTTAAAAATTTTATCTTCTCTATATCTTAGTAAATTACCTTAGATCCTTTTTGCAAGAAGAGCAGTTATAAATGGTAGAAAAAACATGAGGTGTTATTTACAGAAAGATGATGGTCAAAAAAGGTTTTTGCATTCTTTTTTATCATGTAAAACATTGAAGTTATAAATGAATCGAGATTAGTTCTGTGAGCTTGTAACTTTTTCTGTAAAATTATAGCTTAATTGCATAAAGGTTATTCTTCATTCATTTTAGATGTTGAAATGGATTATTGAATGTATTTTATAATTTTTTATGTTGGTATAGAAAGTGACTGAGACTGAAGATGACAGTGATAGTGACAGTGATGATGATGAGGATGATGTTCATGTCACTATAGGAGACATTAAAACGGGAGCACCACAGTATGGGTAAGTTACTTTTAAGTAACAATTGTGTGACTAAATCAAAGGTAGTGTGCTTATATTAAACCATTAGTGGTTGATTCCATTGTTTTTACATTTTTCCATCTTACCATGATATGAAAGAACTCTTGTTACAGTTTCAACATGAGTTGCTAAGAGAATAGATCTTAAAAATTCTTATCACAAGAAAAAAAATTTGTAACTATGTGTGTGATGTATGTTTACTAAATTTTGCAATTTAAACATATATCAAGTCATTATGTTGTACACTTAAATTTAATACGATGTTATTTTTTAAAAATGTTTTTTCTTTATTCATTTTAGAGACAGAGGAAGGGAGATGGAGAGAGAGAAACATGAATGAGAGAGAACATTGATTGACCACCTCCTGCATGCCCCCTACTGAGGGTCGGGCCCACAACCTGGGCATGTGCCCTGACCGGGAATTGAATCTACAGTGTTATATTTTGATTATAGGTCATGATGAAGGGGAATTTCAACATGAAAATACGCCTTTCTTAAAGATAATTAGTAAAGTTACATGGAAGCACCACTATTTTTGATTCCTGAAGTTAGTGTTTTAATAAATGAATTGAGTACAACAAATTCTTTAGTTAGAATTAAAAAACCTTAAATTGCAGTTTGCATCTGTATTGTTCTATGATTTTATTAGTATTCAAACTGGAGTTTAAGTTTTAAATTTTTTCTCCAATAAAAAAATAACAAAATTATTTTTTGCTCCTCATAGTATTTAAAAAAATTTTTTTTCTTTATTGAGTTTAGAGAGAGAAGAAGGGAGAGGGAGAGATAGAGAAACATCGATGTGAGAACATCGATTGGCTGCCTCCTACATGCCCCCAACTGGGGATTGGGCCCACAACCTGGGCATGTACCTGGAATGGGAATGGAACTGGGACCTCTCAGTCCATGGGATGATGCTCAATCCACTGAGCCACACTGGCTGGACATGTTTTTTATTGATTTTAGAGAGAGGAAGAGAGAGAGAAACATTTATCAGTTTCCTCCCCTCTATACACGCCCAGGCCAGGGATTGAATCCTCAATCTTATTTTTTTAATGTATTTTTAATGCATTTCAAAATCAGTTACAGATCTTTCTGAGGGGTGTAAAGCTTATTTAACCTTGATATCTCAAGATACATTCCTTGACAACAGAAAGAAAGTGAGAAGATTAAATTTTTACTTTGTGTCCACTTCTCAAACATATTTATTTAATTATATTTTTTTTGTTAATTCTCACCCAAGGATATTTTTACTTTGACTTTTTTTTTTTAGATAGGAGGGGGAGAGAGAAAGAGGAAAACATGTTGATTGGTTGCCTCCCACGTGACCCCAACTGGGGCTAGGGATCGAACCTGCAATCGAGGTATGTGTACTTCAAGGGGAATCGAACCTGAGACCCTTCAGTCCACAGGCTGACACTCTAACCGCAGAGCCAGCCTGGCTAGGACTTCATAAGCAAATTTAAAGAGCAAATTATGTTTAAGCAACAATACTAAATTGGTTTATTATTAGCTACTAGAAAGTACAAAATAGCATTTTTTGGTAATATACTTTTGTTACAGAGTTCATTTTATCTATAAGGTTGCAAGAAAAGCTGATAGGAATAATTTGTCTTGTATATAGAAATCGTTTCTTAGCTATGTCTTTGAAATTCATCCATTCTTTCAGTAAGCACTTCTAAAGATAGTTTATTTGGCATTCTACTAATGATGATGGGATATAAAAATAATATAGTCCTTATTTATCAGAAGTGGTGAGGAAGACAGACATTTGAGCAAATACTTTTAGTGCAGTGTAAGTGCTAGAATAGGAGCATGTACAAAATGATTTGAAAGCTTTGACTGGAGAGTTGGTAAAACCCTATAGGTGTTGAAGATCCTAGAGGAGGTAATATTTTAATTTATTTGAATGATTCTTGAGTTAAAAGGGAGAGTACTGATGATTTAGGTAGAGAATACTACTTAGATGTAGTCCAAACTAGGAACCACATGCTGGATGATAAAGGTAGATGAGCAAGGATGGTCAAAATCACTTGAGGAGGGAGTTAGGATGTTTTTGCTATGTTATCAGGGAAACTTTGAAGGTTTTTTAGGCAAGTCAGATTATTTGAAAAGATAACTGTAGCAACAGTAGTTGAGATGGACTAGGTAGAAATTAGTTGAAGTGATTGTCCACATGAGATAATGCAAACTAAGCGAACAGCAGTGGTATAGGGATGGATGGGAAAATAAGGTTATATTTGAATGGATAATAAATAGAATAAATGGGTAACCGGTTGGTTGTGGATGGAGAGGGAGAAAAAGGACTCAATGACTTAGAGGTTTCTAGAGCAGCTAATTGAGTACATAACAGTGTTATTACCATGTATGGGTAATGTGGGAGCAGGTTAAAATAAATTTTGATGCATTTATTTCGAAGTTCTTTTCGACACCCAAGTATATAGGATCTAACACCTAGAGAAGCCTGAGACCTCATGGGAGTCCATAAGATGGTATCCGATTTTTTTAAGTGCAATATTTCAGGTAGCTGAGTTTCTCTATAAACATTGAATACAAAGGTTTGATGGCTTTACAAAAGAAAAGTGATGTTTTAAAAGGCAGAATGGGGAAGGGAAAATATAAGTGGAAAGAACAGAAGTTCATTTTTTGAACTTCTGGCTAAGCCTCTTATAAATACTGTTTTTTGGTTTTTTTTTATCCTCACCTGAGGACATTTTTTGATATTTTGTTCAGATAGAGTGGGAGGGAGAGAGAGAGAGAGAGAAACATCGACGTGAAAGGGACACATCGAGTGGTCGCCACCCACACGACCCAACCAGGGCCAGGGACAAACCGCAACCGAAGTACATGCCCTTAACGGGAACCGAACCCGGGTCTCTCTGGACCGCAGGCTGATGCTCTAACCGCTGAGCCAAACCAGCCAGGGCTTGTTTTTTTTTTTTTTTTTTTTATCCTTTAGCAGTTCTACGAGAGGACCATTTAGTCCTTAATGTTTGTATGTTTGACTTGCATACATTTAGAACTTTAGTACATCATACATAGATACCCCAAATATACTTTTGCTGTGCTAAATTTAGATGGTTGAAATGTACCCATCATGGAGCAGGAGCCATATTTGACTAGCTCCTCATTCTGTCTCCTTAGCTAGAACTATATGTGATATATTGTTGGTACTCAAGCATTTATTAAATGAACTAGTGAATGAGATGGTTGAACGGTTCAAGTTGGTAATGATAGTACTGCTTGATACTTAACAGTTTAATTTGGGTTACATTGTACTTGTTGCATTTATAGTGGTGGAGCTTTATACAATTATTTGAATATTTTAATTTATCCTCATTTTTTTAAAGCAGAAAATGGTAAAATGGTAGTGCTATGTGAATGAATAACCTAAGTCTCATAAATGTAGTACATTGGAGACCAAAAGGTGGAATTTACTAGGCAGACCAAAAGCAGTGAGTCTTCACAAGTCCAGGTTGGCTAAACTTGTTAAGGTAAAGAACCAAATTAAATAACATGAATGAATGTAATGTGAGAAATAATATCATTGAAAACATTGTCTATAACTTGAAGTCTTACTACTACTATCTTTTTGCACTATAGGAATTGAGCCTTCTTCCTTACCTACTCCCTTCTGCCCCCTTTTTCCTAACCTCCCTAATAATGTGTAAGTTTATTTTGGTCAGTGTATTTGATTTTCCTTCTCTTACAGAAGAACACATTAAATACAAAAGCAGGGAACTGTCTATAAACTCATATTACAGAAAATTTATACAAGGTCTATGGGATCTTAAGTGACTTGGCTAAGATTATACAATTAATAACAAAACTTGGTTATGCAGTTAATAACAAAACTTGTATTTGAACCTGGCTCCGTCTGACTCAAGATTTTTTCCTCCTTATATCACATGTGTATGTTACACTACATTAAAAAAGGTGCAGCTCAATACTTTTTTTAGAGTGTATAAATTAATGTAACCACCATCCAAATCAAGATATGGAGCATCACTAAATTCTAGAAACTTCTCTCTTGTTTTCTCTCAATCATTAACCACAGACCACCACTCAACACAAAATGTTTTGCTTTCACTCTAGACTTATTTTTGAATTTCATGTACATTTATTTTATGGACAGAAGTACTCCATGGGTATTTGAAAGAGGATTTATCAACAATATCAAATGCAGGAGGATTAAAGGGAGGTCACTGGATTTGGGACCAACTTTTATTGAGCGAGTGACTTTTAAAATTAGTTGAAAACATTTTCTAAAATGTGTGAGTTATTGTCATTTTATCCTGTTACTATGTGGGTGTATAACTTATTTGTACACATTGAGTGTATTGTTTTTGTTTAAGTTTCTCAGGGTGATTTTTATTTTGTTTTTAGGAGTTATGGTACAGCACCTGTAAATCTTAACATTAAGACAGGAGGAAGAGTTTATGGAACTACAGGTAAAATTTTTATTTGCAGCTGCAACAAAGGAAAATAAGGCATACATCTGAGTAGGTGGTAAATAGATCATAATAGCTATTACAGCTCAATTAAAAATATCAGTTTTGACCATATATAATAGGGCTAGATATTAAATAATTTAGGCTGTGTGGGCCACATAGGGTTTTTGCCATGGTGTTTTGTTTGTTTTTTACTTGTTTGTCTTACAACCTTTTAAAAAGGTAAAATCATTTCTTAGTTCACAGATTGTAAAAAATCTGGTTTAAAACATGGAAGTTAGCAACTTCCTACTGGTACAGCAATCCCTTTTTTATAGATATATATGTTTTTATTGATTTTTTTTTTTTTTCTTAAGAGAAGAAGGGGGAGAGATAAAAACATCGATGAGAGAGAAACATCTATCTGCTGCCTCCTGCACATCCCCCACTGGGGATCAAGCCCACAACCTGGGCATGTACCCTGACTGGGAATTGAACTGGAACCTCTCAGTCCATGGGCTGACGCCCAGTCCACTGAACCACACCAGCTGGACGGAATCCCCTATTTTAAATAACAAGTCTGTAATTTGTCTATCCATTTTATCTTGTAGCTATATCATAACGTTTTACCTTACCTTTTATTTATGATAAACATGACTCTAATGCTTTTTTGGGAACTGTTGCCATATTTAGTGCCAGCAACGGTAAAAAGGTGTCATTGTATCTCTCAGTGTCTTGCTAATGTAGCTCCTGCACTATTTTGTAATTTTATAAAACAGGAACAAAAGTCAAAGGGGTAGACCTTGATGCACCTGGAAGCATTAATGGAGTTCCACTCTTGGAGGTAGATTTGGATTCTTTTGAAGATAAACCATGGCGTAAACCTGGTAAGGATATTGTAGATTATATCAGTTTCAAAAGATTTATAGTATGAACAGTCATTAAAGTATTTAAGTATTTTTCAGTATCAATTTAGAATATTATTTGGTGTTTTTTTGTTTGTTTGTTTTGTTAATCCTCACCCAAGGATATTTTTCCATTGACTTTTAGATAGAGTGGGAGGGAGGGAGGCAGGGGAAGAGAGAAAGAGAGAGAAAACATTGATGTGAGAGAGAGAAACATCGATTGGTTGCCTCTTGCATGACCCCAACCAGGGACAGGGATTGAACCTGTGTCCCTTTGGTCCACAGGCCGATGCTCTAACCACTGAGCTGAGCCAAATTGGCTAGGGCTAGAATATTATTGTTTTAATGTAATTTTGTAGTCTTAAGCTCATGAGAATAATAATGAATTAATGTAATGATAAATTAATCATTAATAATGAATTTATTAAATCTTGCCGGTGGCCTAGCATTATATTAGACTTGCATATTGTTTTATTATACTGCATTCTTAAAGGAAATGATTTTGATAAAAAATTCTTATAGTTCTGTTGCTTTATGATAATCGGGAGAACTGGTAAAATTAGAAAGAATAATACTAATAGAACTCTATTATATTTTATATACTTTATAAAAAATAGAATGGAAACATCTGTGCAACTAAAAGTGAAAAGTGTGTTTTACTTTTAGGTGCTGATCTTTCTGATTATTTTAATTATGGGTTTAATGAAGATACCTGGAAAGCTTACTGTGAAAAACAAAAGAGGATACGAATGGGACTTGAAGTTATACCAGTTACCTCTACTACAAATAAAATTACGGTAATTAATAAATGTTCCAAAATACACCAGTGATTTCTACTGTCCCAATTTTACTTCCCGAATAAATCACTTTTCCCTCTAAAGGTGGTTAAAACCTATATGGTAGTTTTAAAATTTCATTCTTTTTACCATGTATTTTTCCCCCCTTTCCTTTCTTTTGTTTCATATGAATGATTTTCTGATGTTCTTAGTTTCAAGTCACAGACTAGCCACAGCTAGTTCGTCTTTATATGGCCTATCTATTAAAAATTATGTGGTATCTTAATGGGGAATATGTTATTTAACTTAGGCCGAAGACTGTACTATGGAAGTTACACCAGGTGCAGAGATCCAAGATGGCAGATACAATCTTTTAAAGGTGAATTTTAGTAAATTATCCTTGGTTGCTCTCATTTTCTTGTTCTTGAGTCTGCTTCCATACCACTACCAAGGGACAAGATTAAAGTAGAAATAGCTCCTTCTTTTCAAACCTTCAGCTTCCTGGTGACTTACAAATTTGCTGATTATTGTTTTATCTCCACTTTTTCAAGCATATGAATTTGTGCTTGTTATACTAACAAATGCAAAGTAAAACTATTTTTGCTATTATGTGTGGTGATTTTGAGTCATAATACATGTTTATAGGATATAAAAGTTTATTCCAGCAGGTTAAGCTCTTGTTGTAGATCACAGTATTATCAGAATTAGGGATTCATTTTCGTTGATTTGATTTTATTTATTTTAATTTGTTTACTAAGGTTTTATTAATGTTTTTATCCTCACCTGAGGACATTTTTGCATTTATCTTCAGATAGAGTGGGAGGGAGAGAGGGAGGAAGAGAGAGAGAAACATCTGTGTGTCTGGTTGCCACCCACACGACCCCACCAGGGCCAGGGGCAAACTGCAACCAAGGTATGTGCGCTTAGTGGGAACCGAACCCGAGACTACCTGGTCCGTGGGCGGACACTCTACCCGCTGAACCAGACCGGCCAGGGTGCTAATTTTATTTTTTTAAATGGTAAGGAATATGGCTTATTATCTATAATACTACTGAAATTGGTGTAGTTTAAGATAGCTCAAGAATCTTATGCATTGTTTGAGCGTCTCTGAGAAAGACGCAACAAAATAGGATAAAGCCATTGATTTTTAAATTAATGCTTTAAAAAGGAGTAGGCTTAGTGAGGGACTTGCAGGTTGATAGTACCACTTGGGTATCAAGTGAACCTTCTGGCTTCTCCATTCCCTCTGATCACAGACAGTCCAAAGAATGATATATTTTCATACTTCTGCAATACATAGCAACCTACCCTTCTTGAAACCTGATTGTGTATTCTCTCTTTACCTTAATTCTTAATTTTTGATCCTTTATATTGAATAACACTGGGATGAAGACTGGAGTGACTTTTAGATTGGCTTGTGTATTTAGAGAAATTTTTGGACGAATTTTTTCCCTTTTGGGACTGCAGCTCTGTCCACCAAAATAGTGCCTTATGCAATGCATGTGCTGTATCCGCAGATGTAGGTGCTCTGCTGGACACAGTTCTGTATAGATAATTTAATTTTAATTTACATCTTAGCTCTAGGTGAGTATTTGGTTCTTGTTATGCTGTAGCTATTTTGAAAATGCATAATGTAGTTTTTCATGTTTTAAATGGTCATTAGGTTCTTTTTGGTCATGCCTATTTAGGCATTGAATATATTGTTACACATGATTACAGTCAATAGATGGAAAAGTTGTTTTGGTGATGAAATAATTCATTTGCAGATTTGCAGTGGTGTTTTGTATTTTCTTCTAACAGAATTGAGAACTTTTGTAAACTGCCAGCTTGTATATACTTTGTCTTTTTGCAGTGAACTTCTTAAATCCCCCCCAAAAAAATTAAAAACTAGGGACTGTTCTCATATTGAAGGTAGCCATTATGAATGAGTTTTTAAATATACTGTTTTTGAAAAATTATTTTTGAAGTTTCTTTTGGGTATATGAGAGGTCATCGTTTCATTCTGATTTGATTCTGAATGAATAAGGACATTAATTTGGTGGATGTAGCCTAATGTTTTTTCTGCCTTTATAAGGTGGTTAAATATTACTGATCTGTTAGAAATAAATAGGGTGTGTAATTTCATGGGTGTGACTCACATATTTTCTTTATATTGTGGTCTGTAGGATATATTTTATTGATAATGCTCAAAATCTGCAACTAATGGTACGTGGGCGTGTTTGGCATTTTTAGACTACAATTTGATTTACAGTGAATTTCAGAAACATTTCTATCACCTTAAATTTATGAAATGTCCTTATTCAGATTTCTGTGGGATTTTTATTCTTTGAAAAAGTAGTTGTCTTTTTTACTATCTGTTCTGCAACTCGGGAGAGTACAAAATATTGTAAAGATCTAATTGGTAACCCAAATATGCAGAGGTAAATTTCTTAGGTATTAATTGCTAAAATGTATGTTTTAGACAAAATGCTATAGAAATTGGAGAAATGAGAGTTAGAAATTACTTTCGGATCAGAAATTACATTGGCTTATTCTGTTTCTGTTTTGTGTGTGTGTTTACTCTAATGTGGGCTGCAGTAGTGGAGAAGTAGATGCCATTTTAAGCATACATATGCCTTTTTTTTTTTTTTTTTTATCCTCACCCGAGAACATTTTTCCTTTTGTTCAGATATAGTGGGAGGGAGATAGAGAGAGAGAGAGAAACATCAACGTGAAAGGGACACATCTAGAGGCTGCCACCCGCTCGACCAACCAGGGCCAGGGACAAACAGCAACCAAGGTACACGCCCTTAACGGGAACTGAACCTGGGTCTCTCTAGAGCGCAGGCCAATGCTCCAACCACTGAGCCAAACAAGGCAGGGCACTTAGGCCATTTTAATCAGAGCCTTGAGAGTGTGGAAAAGAGATGAAAAAGTATCGCAGATTGAGGAAATGGCTTGGACAATAAAACTTAGGTTTTAATTGAGTAGAAATGGATAACAGCATTATTTAAGAAATTAGCTTTAGCCCTGACCAGTTTCGCTTATCAGTTAGAGCGTTGGCCTGTGGTCCGGAAAGACCCGGGTTCAGTTCCCGCTAAGGGCATGTACCTTGGTTGCAGTTTGTCCCCGGCCCTGATTGGGTTGTACGGGTGGTGACCACTCGATGTGTCCGTTTCACGTCGATGTTTCTCTCTCTCTCCCCTCTTTCTGCCTCCTACTTTATCTGAACAAAACAACAACAAAAAATGGACAATTTCCTCCGGTAAAGATAAAAAAAAAAAAAATTAGCTTTATTGGATATGAGGGATTTTTTTGGAAAGGAGATGAGAGATGGCTTTGTGGTTTAATTCTAGAAAGCCTAGAAACAAGGAGTATGAGTTAGAGGAGTTGCTGCTTATTTTTGGACAGAAGAGTGACTTATAAGTTAACATTCTGACTGTATTTTGTGGTGGTGTTGGATAAAGAAAGTCCAAGCTTTTACCCATTTGTCCACCATTTGAACTAGAATTAGAATTGGTGAGAAAGAATAAAAAATCCTTTCCCGATTTTCTTGTCATGTCTGAGCACTCCCTGTGTGCCTAACACTGTGTTAGATGCCACAGTAAGACAGGTTTTCTGTATTCAAGGAGCTCATGATCTGAGTGACATGTACATAAGGGGCTCATGATCTGAGTGAAGTGTATATATAAATTAACCATGATACTTGTGATAGATGTTACGTTGATGGTTTTGACAAAATGCAGTAGAGAATTCAGAGGAGAGAGTGAGTTGTCCTGCATTGTGTAGTCTAGCAAGATGAGAAAGGGGAGTGTAGAACATAGTTCTCAGAGAGAGTAACTTGAGCAAAACCAGATAGCATGAAAGGAGAGTTAAAGTGGATGAGAGAAACTATAGGAGAGAAGCCTGGAAATGGTAAAATTGGGGCTATGATGAGAAAGACCTTAATCTTAAACTAGCCTACAGGCATTTGTGTAAGCAATAGGAAGCCATTCAAAAGTTCTTGGGTAGAATAGCATAGCATGGGCAAATCTGGTTTATAGGAAAAAACAAAACAAAACTGGCACCAGGGTATGCTGTATAATTTAAGGAGGAGAAAAGGGAGTCAGAGACCAGTTAGGGGTCTGTTATAGTACTATGGAAATGAAATGAACAAGGGCCCAAATGTATACTGTTGAGAAGACAAAATAACAGATTTAAGACTTATAATCTAAGTTCTTTCTTATCTACTGCAATTTTTTTTTTTGATCCTTAGAGACAAGCAACATGTTGACCTCTTAACATTTTTTTACTTTTCATTAAGTAAATTTCAAACACACTGACAAGATAGAAATAATACAAATGACCCCTCCAGGTGTTTATTATAGTGCCTGATGATTATAATAAACATTTGACCTTTTTTTAAAAATCTTTATTGTTGAATGTATTACAGATGTTCCTCATTTTTCCCCCATTGACCTCCTCCTCCCTCCTCCCGCCCCCCCTCCCGCCTTTTCCCACACTATTGTCTATGTCTATTGGTTATACATATAAATTCTTTGGTTTATTTCTTCCCACCCCCCAAACCCTTTCCCTTTGAGGTTTGTCAGTCTATCAATGAATTTGTACTTAATCCCTTCACCTTTTTCACCCATTCCCCCAACCCCCCTCCCATCTGGCAACCAATAAAATCTTCTCTGTATTTATGAGAATGTTTCTGTTCTGCCTGTTCATTTTGTTTGTAGATTCCATTGTCGATAGATATGTATTCATTGCCATTTTGTTTGTTCATATATTTCATCTTTTTCTTCAAAAACATCCTTCAACATTTCCTATAATAACGGTTTGGTGGTGGTGAACTCCTTTAACTTTTTCTTGTCTGGGAAAGTCTTTATATGGCCATCGATTCTAAATGACAGCTTTGCAGGATAGAGTAATCTTGGTTGTAAGTTCTTGCTTTTCATCACTCTAAGTATTTCTTGCCACTCCCTTCTGGCCTGCAAAGTTTCTTTTGAGAAATTAGCTGACAGCCTTATGGGAACTCCCTTGTAGGTAACTAACTGCCTTTCTCGTGCTGCTTTTAAGATTCTCTCTTTGTCTTGAACCTTTTGTATTTTGATGATGATGTGTCTTGGTGTGGGCCTCTTGGGGTTCATCTTATTTGGGACTCTCTGTGCTTCCTGGACTTGTATGTCTGTTTCCTTCACCAAGTTAGGGAAGTTTTCCGCCATTATTGTTTCAAACATGTTTTCAATTTCTTGTTCTCGCTCTTCTCCTTCTGGCACCCCCAAGATGCAAATGTTGGCACGCTTGAAGTTGTCCCAGAGGCTCCTTATACTATCCTCATTTTTTTGGATTTTTTTGTCTTTTTGCTGTTCTGATTGGGCTTTTTTTGCTTCCTTATATTCCAAATCAATGGTT